ATTTTCTCAAAAAATAATATATTTTTCCTTTTTCATGTCCCACATCAACTCGGCGCCCAAATAATGCGAAACTATTCGACCAAATTTAGACGAAAGTTCTTATACATTAAGAGATTGTATTAAAATCATTCTTCCATGTAATTAACATTTTCATACTGATAAATTTTCCAACAACTCGTTTGTTGATTATAAAGAAAAAGATCTCACTCCTATTCTAAATAAATTCTATTGAAATTTTCGAAAAGGTTTATTCTATAATGAACTTGTATCCTTGGTGTTAACTAGTTCACTGTTCAATTCTGTTTATTTTTCTAATTTCTTGAAACCTTATTTCTGATAACAACTACAAAAATGAGTTGTGAAACAGTCAAGATGTAGGCTAAATAAATATCTTTATTTTATGTTTAAATGAGATATTTCGTTTACATTATTCTGACTGACCCTTAACACTTCCCTCATCTTTAATTTACCTGTTCTGACATTTTGCGTTAGTGTACATACTGGCAAACATTAGCCATAATTTTTAGACTTGACAGATCAACAGATGGTTATCATCAGCCTCAACGTTATCTTACTTACTTACTTACTTACTTACGCCTGTTACTCCCAATGGAACATAGGCCGCCGACCAGCTTTCTCCAACCCACTCTGTCCTGGGCTTCCTTTTCTAGTTCTATCCAGTTCTTGTTCATTCTCCTCATGTCTGTCTCTATTTCTCGGCGTAATGTGTTCTTTGGTCTTCCTCTTCTCCTTTGACCTTCAGGATCCCATGTGAGGGCTTGTCTTGTGACGCAATCAGGTGATTTCCTCAAGGTGTGCCCAATCCACTTCCAGCGCTTTCTCCTGATTTCTTCCTCCTCTGGAATCTGGTTTGTTGTCTCCCACAGTAACTTATTGCTGATAGTGTCTGGCCATCGGATCCGAAGTATTTTGCGTAGACAGCTGTTAATAAACACTCGTATCTTCTTGATAATGGCTTTCGTATTTCTCCACGTCTCCGCCCCATACAGTAGAACTGTCTTGACATTTGTATTGAAAATTCTAACCTTGGTGTTGGTTGACAATTGTTTTGAGCTCCAGATTTTTTCAATTGTAAGTATGCTGCTCTTGCTTTGCCGATCCTTGCCCTTACATCTGCATCTGATCCACCGTGTTCATCAATGATGCTGCCCAGATATGTAAAGGTTTCCACATCCTCCAAGGTTTCTCCGTCAAGTGTAATTTGATTGGTGCATATTGTATTGTATCGGAGTCTTGCTTTTCTCTTTGTTTATATTGAGACCTACTGCTGCTGAGGCTGCTGCTACACTGGTCGTTTTCTCCTGCATTTGTTGTTGCGTTTGTGATAGAAGAGCCAGATCATCCGCGAAGTCTAAATCGTCAAGCTGCATCCTGCCTGTCCACTGTATCCCGTGATTTCCTCCAGATGTTGACGTCTTCATGATCCAGTCGATGACCAGGAGAAAGAGAAAGGGTGAGAGTAAGCAACCTTGTCTAACACCGGTCTTTACTTGAAACGAGTCGGTGAGTTGTCCTCCGTGGACAATTTGGCAGTTTAGTCCATCATAGGAGTTCCGTATGATATTTACTATCTTCTCAGGCACGCCGTAGTGTCGAAGAAGCCTCCATAGTGTCGTCCTGTCCACGCTATCAAATGCCTTCTCGTAGTCGATGAAGTTGATGTAGAGTGATGAGTTCCATTCGGTTGATTGTTCCACAATGATCCGCAGAGTTGCGATTTGATCTGTGCACGATCTATCCTTACGAAATCCAGCTTGTTGATCTCGAAGTTAGGCATCTACGGAATCCTTCATCCTGTTTAACAATACTCGTTTGAAGACTTTTCCTGGTATTGAGCGAAGAGTGATGCCCCTGTAGTTATCGCACTTGCTATGATCACCTTTCTTTGGTATTTTGATCAGAAGTCCTTTTTTCCAGTCTGTTGGTACTTGTTCTTCGTCCCAAATCTTACTGAAGAGGATGTGGAGTATCTTGGCTGTTGCTGTTACATTTGCTTTCAGTGCCTCTGCCGGGATGTTGTCTGGTCCCGCTGCTTTGCCACTCTTGACTTGTCTAATGGCCATGCTGATCTCTTCAATTGTTGGTGGGCCAATATCGATTGGGAGGTCCGTGGGTGCTGCTTCGATGTTGGGTGGTTTCAGTGGAGCTGGTCGATTCAAGAGTTCTTTGAAGTGTTCTACCCACCTGTTTCGTTGTTCTTCAATGTCGGTGATTACTTTGCCTTCCTTGCTTTTCACTGGTCTTTCTGGCTTACGGTAATTTCCAGCAAGTTTCTTTGTTGTATCATACAATTGTCTCATGTTTCCTTCTCTTACAGCCTTTTCCGCTGTCGTTGCTAAATCTTCCACATATTTACGTTTGTCGGCTCTGATGCTCCTCTTCACTTGCTTGTTTGCCTCTGTGTATTCGGCTTGTGCCTTGGCTTTTTCCGCTCTGGTTCGGCTGGTGTTGATTGCTGCCTTCTTCTTCCTCCTTGCTTCAATCTTATCCAGTGTACCAACAGTGATCCATTCCTTGTGATGGTGCTTCTTTTGGCCCAGAACCTCCTGACATGTTGAAACGATTGCCTCTTTGATACCTTTGCAGTTGCCCTCCATGGTAGTTCCCTCTCCATTGAGTAGGTCATGAAAGGCCTCGAACCTGTTGCTGAGGGCTATGTTGAATTTGTTGAGTTTGTCAGCATCTCGAAGAAAGGCCGTATCAAACTTTTGTGATGTTGTCCGCACAGTTGTCCAGTGCTTCTTGAGTTTTAGTTTCATCTTGGTGACCAGCAAATGATGATCGGATGCTATATCAGCTCCTCTTCTGGTTCTCACATCCTCCATCGTCCTTCTGAACTTTTTGTTGATGCAGATGTGGTCGATTTGATTCTGTGTAGTGTGATCCGGTGAAATCCAAGTGGCTTTGTGTATGTTTTTGTGTGAGAATATGGTGCCACCTATGACCAGTTTATTGAAGGCACATAGGTTTGCAAATCTCTCACCATTTTCGTTCCTTCCTCCCAGTCCATGTTGTCCCATGACGTCTTCATATCCAGTGTTGTCCATTCCAACCTTAGCATTGAGATCTCCCATCAGAATTGTCAGGTCCTTGGTTGGGCACTTCTCGACGATCGACTGCAATCTGTCGTAGAATTGGTCTTTAGCGTCTTCATCGTAGTCATTGGTCGGCGCATAGCATTGGATGACGTTCATTGTAATGCCCTCTCTCTTTGTTCTGAAGGAGGCTTTGATGATCCTTGGTCCATGAGATTCCCATCCTATAAGTGCATTTTGTGCTTTTCTGGACAGCATCAATGCAACTCCTTGTGTATGTGGGGCATTTTCTTCTTCATGACCGGAGTATAACAGAAGTTCTCCTGAAGACAGTTGTTGTTGTCCAACCTGCGTCCAATGTGTTTCACTGATTCCAAGCACTTCCAGGTTGTATTTTCTCATTTCTGCAGCAATTTGGAAAACTCTTCCGGTCTCCCACATTGTTCGGACATTCCATGTACCTATAAAAATTGTCGCTCTGGTTGTAAGAAGGTGCATCGGCCTCATGACTTCCGAAGGAGCTCGGCTTTCATCATGAGACGTCATAATTATTCCTTCTACTCCCAGGGCAGAGTTTAAATGGTTTGAATGATTTTTTCTGGTTAGCGTTTTTTTAGCGAGTTGATTTTCTACGGGATGGGGTCGCTAACCCCATGTCCAACCCTCCTCCTTTACCCGGGCTTGGGACCGGCAGTAACCCCCAGAGGAGCTACAGGCGGAGTTCAACGTTATCTAGAGCGCTAAAATAATACTATAAAACGACGCAATAAAATGTTTCATGATCAGTCAGCTATTGGAACACTTATTATTAACCTCCTAGCCATTTCCTATAACTGTGAACTACGCCTACACTTCAACTCAAACGAAAGAAATGTGTAAAATCTGAGTACGAACTTTAATCCAAGGTTAACTACGTACAGAATGTCAAGTGTATTTATAACTTCGTATGACTTTGATCTTCAGAGTATTTCTGGAAATATACCAAACATAGCAACGATATAGGTAATAATGTAATCCAAACGTTGCATGTAATCCTTCATTTCCGAGAATTTCCTATTCAATGCTGATTGTATGAAACGTCTTCAGGCGTTTGCTGGGTCTATATATAATTTGAAGATTGATATTTTAAGACTCCCCTTCACTGAATACTACTCTGGTTAATATAAATAACTGTCTATTTCTTCTATCATACATTTTCAATATGTTTTTTTTCTATTTTTGCTTCTCAAACATTATACAGATTCGTTTTTCTGCTGAATTTCTTCCAAGGTCTTTACATACTGTTTACTCTACAGCGTTGGGCTTTCTTATTATTACTGTTATTATTATTATTATCATATCAACAGTCTAATAAAATGTGACCATAGAATCAATAATGATTCTAAAAGACTCATTTAATCAATAAATTCTAATTTCGTTCTATCATGTGGTATGTCGATGCAATGATTGTGGCAATCTTAATTTCGTACAGTAGGACTTTAAATTAATTTTTTTGAATTATCCTTTGAAACTTGCATTAAACATTGTAACTGAGAGTAATTTAACTTGAAAATGTGGTTTTCGAAAAATGAATTACTAACTTTGAATTCAGAAATTTGTCGATTTATTAGACTTGCACGGTTATGCGCTCTTACATGTTTCTTTTCCAAATTAGTTTAAGTGGAAATAGTTGCAATGATCCTTTTTATTTGTAAATATCTACTTGGAAAACATCATCTGTTCTGCTGTAACAAGATTTAAATGTATTTCCGGGTCTAACAGGAGTTCTGAACTTTAAATGAGATACTTTTCTGTCATTCTTTTGTTCAGGTAGTATTGACAATTGAATATAGAATTTCTCTGTTGACATTTCAGTTATTTACTCTTGACATGCCTAACTTGCTTATGATTTCTTTTATCTGTCTATTTTTCTCTCTCTACCATTTTTTTTATTTATATCTATAGCGATATCAACGAAAATTATGATTTCGATATTATTTTTGTAAACGGCATGTTAGGTAGTGTTTTCTATACTTGGAGACAGCATGATTCAATGCTTACCAACAATCCTACTCAGTATACAAAATGTTGGCCTAGAGTAAGTAATGTGTATTAATGTATATATCAAAGGGTTTCTTTTAGTATTATTAACATTATTCGCATTATTACTCTCTCTTGGCCTCACGGGTTTTCATTATCTTTGCTTTCTAATTATATGCGGTCCGTTGATGTTAATTATATCTATACTTCGAGTATGGATATAACACATACTGGATCTGATATATATATATATATATATATATATATATATATATATATAAACATTTCCACACAGAATCTGTCATTTCAATCTAACGCTTATTTATCACACCGAATTATACATTTACCTTAAAAACAAACGTTTTTGTTATCTCTGTCGTACATAGATGTTAAAAAGGCCTCTATATTGTGAATGGAAGCTTGTATAGTAAGCCCCTTGAAGTTTTTATTGCATACTTGCCGCAATTTAAACAACTAACCTACTATGTAAAAATGTGTGTGTGAGTCTGATTGGACGCATGTCTGCACCTCGACTTTAGCTATCTTTCCACTAGTTGTAAATCAATAACCTACCTACACTCATAAAATACGTATAGATTTTTCGATTTTTTGCGAATACATTCACTCACACCTCCTGTGTGCTTGTTGATTTTATGATTTATTAACGATACAGTGTCCCACCAACTGGTGTTCTAACTTTTAAATATTCTAAAGTAAATTTATAGTACTACTAGAAGGGTTGGTCTGCGGAATTACCTCAGTTAACGGGACATCGAATGTGTTGAGTCTTTACCCTGTTAATTATCACGTAACAAAATCGCCAACCAAAACATCGACATATACGACTTGGCCCTGTCCCAAACCAATTACACGTTAGCTAGCACGAGCAGCCTAAAATCAACTCTGAGTCCTTATTTCTTCTTCTCTCATAGCCCTACCTGTTGAGTCCAGAACACAACCTCAGCTTCCACTGTATGACTCATGTATATATATCAGATATTCGTAGTTAATATACAGGTAGACCAGCCCATATCACACTATAAAATAGAAAATATTATTGATACAAGATCAAGCTGAAAGTGGCTGTGTGAGAGACTGTAACTAATAGATTGGTAATAGCTTGAGAATAATAAATTGTATAATAGTAGTCAGTGGGTCAAATGAAAAGATTGCGAATATATCTTTATAGTCTAGTTACTTGGTAATTATCCAATAAGAATATATATAACAATAGTTCATAAATAACTCCTAGCAGTTACCATTCATTTATTCTTCGTTAGAATATGACAAAAATGTAGAGGCATTAACCTATACAGCTTTTGTTTTGAGCAATAGTAATGTGTAGTACTGAAATATTTTACAATTGTTTGAAATTATTACTAGTATAATAAATATGGGATCGAGTAAGATGTAGTTATAAAATATGTCCTTTATTTTCAAACGAATGTATAAAAGCAAACATTAATGTGGTATTTATAATTTTTTTGACTCACAACCGCCTGAACTCGTTCATCTATGCAGGAACTATTAATGTAGTGTTTTCACACATGTAGTGATATCATGACAATGAAACAACTTCATATGTTCAGATTCCTTCGGGTGTATATTTCATCACTTTCCTCGTAATGAGCGTTTTGTAACTTGCATGATTTTTTTCTCTCATTTAAACTGAAATTACCTCTGAAGTAGAATACAGTTTTAAGCGGTTCGTAATTTCACTCGTTAATGATTTGATTCATTATCCTACAATTAATATAGTTGTTTTCAGTGGATTTCAACCAGTCATTCTGGGACACCATATCAATATTTATTGATCTTCATAACAGTGTCACAATTGAATGAATATCAGCACTGATAGTTGAATTTTATCCTGACTATAATATCTACTTCCTCAACAGTAAATCTTAGTGTCCTTGTGAAATAGCTTGATAGTACAGTAATACACTCTTAATTTTGAATTCTTGAAATAGTGAATACAAAAAGCATCTCATCTTATTTCTTGACTTCTGTCCCGTTCAAAAATCACATCCTGAATTGAAGATGTTTTGATTTGTAATACTGATTCTAGTAAAATAGAAAAGCTTATTGATGAACTGACCTTTGACAAAAAACGAAAGACACTCATCATCATTGGTTATTTAGTTGTGGGAGTGTAAATTCACAATATAGAAAAGTTAATGATGCTCATAAAACAAATCTCCCAACAGGATAGATTTTATCAAATTTAACCAATGATTAACTACCTCAGAATCAAGACCATCATCATTATAACAAATAGCTTGTCTAGAATGAAGACTCGATTCACAAAATGATAAATAATTTTTAAAATCTCTTTGTATCAACAATTTTCTGTCTATTTCACCGAATACTCATATACCGAAAGAATCATTCTACTGATGTAATGAATATTGTATTTTTGTTTCATTTTTATAGGACTGGCTTTCCCACCGATTTCCTCAAGCTCGAATTATCGGTGTTGACACGTCATTGAAGCCATTTGTTTGGCATCCAATTTGTCCACTTCAAAAGTTACGGTAAATTTATTCTCTTGTTTATTTAATGTATGCAATTTCAAGCTAAATAATATTTTTCACGAAATGACATCCTTTTTATGATCTTTTTTTTGTGATTGACAAGTTCAAACTCACCAGTTTGATGATGAGAATTTTCTTTTCAATATCTTGAGATCATAGATTATTTAACTTATCATAAATTCAATATGCGAATAACGTAATGAGTTCTCACAGTTAATACGGTTTCAATCTTGTTCCTCAATCAGTCACAAAGTAGAACTTTGTACGTACGTACATCAGTTCGAGTTGCCATACCACATAACACAGAGATGCAGTTGTCGATTCAAATCCCATAGTGGCAGAAGTAGTAAAAGTATAAGCAGTAATCGGAAAGATTAAGGTTTGAAGATATAATTCAAGGAGTATAATCCAGTGAAATAAATTTAGAAAGAGAAAAAGATAGAGACGTGAAGAATTCAGAAGGTTAGAATTTGGTAGAACACAAAGAGTGGATGCACCTACGCCATTTTGAGCCATGTCATTCAAGGTCTCTAACCATCGATTTCTATCATCTCGCGGATCCCAACCAGGTCTACACCAGTCTACACCTTACCAGCATGGCTGAGTCCACTTGTCAGTATTTAAACCTAAACATGTTCAGTTGTCGATAGCAATGCCATGGTTGGACTTGTTGGTTTCAAATAATTTTTTCTACTCATTGGAATATAACAAAAAATATATTTATTATTGTTCAGTTATCATTTTAAGTAAACCACAACTAAACGAAACTGTTTTGGCTACTATTCTTTATAGGTCTTATGTATTTTAATTCTCTATACTTAAATTTCATAGACTGAACATTTTCTCTTCAGTTTTATCTTATCCCATTTATGTATGACCAATATTAAGGTGTAATTCGTCAATTTATTTTTGTCTCAAAACAAATCAACCTTTTCAGATACTAACTTAAATACTCTCTATCACTTCTGATTGTTTAATTTCTTTCTTTGGATGTAGGTTAACATTATATAATTTAAAAAAATTGTAGGTATTGTATCATCGTTTTGTCCTGAGTTTTGTACTGTGAATCGGCTAGATTTATTGTTAATTGAAATAGTTTATTTAATGATGCAGTTAAATTTTATCAGTTTAGATAATTAGAGTAGTTTTCATCTACCTCAAGCCTCTGTTTTCTTTGGCTTTCTGTATTTGTCAACTAATGAACTGGATTCATATCATTTATTATTATTTATTTAAACACATACATATTGGTACAAAAGGGCACCAGATACATATGCGCCACACAAAATAATGAAAGTAGGAAGAGAAGGGTTGAAAAGATAAGGCGAACTCAAAAGTACAACCAGAAGACTTTTTCAGTTAAGAAAGTTAGAACCACTCTTTATGTAGAAAGTAAAAAAAGGTTGCAGCAGGATCGCCACTGGCTTCTATTCTGAGCCATATCTGATAACGTCTCTAACCACTGTGTTGCACCATCTCTCAGACCCCAGCCAGGGAGTCGTGAAGGACGAATAGAAGCTAGCCCTTTGCAGCTTTCTTTCATGCCACGACACCATGTCATACACTGACCTCCTCTCCGCTTTTTCCAACCAGTCCCAGAGTCGGCAAATAATGCACGACGTGGAATTCTCTGGGACGACATTCGTAAAACATGTCCAAGCCACCGAAGTCGGTGTTTCAAGATGGTGACACCAATTGAATTAAGACAATATCATCCGCATACTCAAGGTCGAGAAGTCGTTCTCCAGGCAGCAGATCCACACCGCCATTACTTACATCCATCAGAGCGGTTTCCAGAATGTTGTCGATGGCAAAGTTGAAGAGGAATAGTGAGATCGAGCAACCCTGCCTAACCCCACTGCTCGAATGGAACAAGGGAGAAAGGTGGTTGTATGCCCTCACTCTGCCTGAGGTGTTCGTATACAGGGCCTTTAAGATGTTAATGTACTTCTCAGGCACACCCTTCTTCAATAGACAATCCCAGAGAACAGTCCTGTCCAACGAATCGAAGGCCGCCCTGATATCAAGAAACACTACGATTGTTGGCCTGCGATAAGTATGACGATGTTCTAACATTTGGCGGAGGGTGAAGATGTGATCAATGCATCCTTGAGCAGAACGAAAACCAGCCTGCTCCTCGCGAGTCAATCGTTCTCGGGTTTTAAACAAACTACGAAGAATGATAGAAGCCAATAGTTTGGACGCAATCGGAAGTAGACTTATCCCCCGATAGTTGTTACAGGAACAACGTGAACCCTTTTTAAAGATAGGGACGACTATCGACTCATTCCATGATGCTGGAACATTTTCTTGCTCCCAAACCTTTCCAAACAACACAGTCAATTCCTTAGTCAGAAAGTCACCACCATCTTTAAAAAGAGCCGGAAGTAAGTCATCTGGGCCAGGTGATTTGTAGCGCTTCAAGAGTTGGAGTTCCTTGCGAACTTCCGCCTCGTTTGGTGGATCAGTCGTCACCGGCCATGGGGGGCAGGACAAGCTGGTTGATGTTGCCGGAGCAGCAGGCCAGTTGAACTGTCCTTCGAAAAATTCCGCCCATCGTCCAAGACGTCGAGAGATATTAGTGATTGGCATCCCATCATCCTCGTAGATTGTTTCACTCACACCAGACTTCTTGCTGCCAGTGGCTCGGATGAGTTGGAAGAGCTTCCGGCAGTTACCAGATGCAGCTGCTGCTTCCATCTCATTAGCACGCTCCGACCACCAGGCTTCTCGGTCCTTACGCAAGGTTTGCCCGATTCCACCACGTAACAGCCTTCGTTTGTGGTCAAACTCACGGTCACCCGGAGTAGACCGACGGGCTTCCATCAGTTGTAAGGAGCCAGAAGAAACCCAGTGCTTGTAAGCAAGACGTTTCGCGAAGCCGCAAGCGGCTTTACTCGCCATTTTCATGGCGTCATGAAGATGCAACCAATGCCCATCTATACTTTTCGGTGGGATGGTAGCTAGCCTAGAAGCTAGCTCCGCTCGATACTTACTTGCAACAGAAGTTGCAGCCAGTTTACTAACATCAATCCGTTGATGGTGGTCAATCCTTCGGCCACTGAAAAGTAAGGTGAGATTGGCGCAGACCAGGACATGATCAGATACCAGATAGGTACTCCAAAATGAGCGGCAGTCTTGTACACAACCACGCCAGCGGTAGCTGATCGCGATGTGATCAATCTGAGTCCAGGCTTGAGATGCAGAGGGAGGACGCCAGGTGGCACACCGGCGATGACTGTGCCGGAAGTTAGTGCTGGCCAGAAACAGGTTGTGGTCTGTGCTCAGTTGCAGCAAACGGTCCCCGTTATCTGTCCTGCGACCAACAAGTCCCCATCGGCCACCTAAACGACTCTCTTCTGTGCCTAGACGCCCGATCTGTGCATTCAAGTCTCCGGCTAGTACTACAATATCTGTCGAACGCGCTTTCTGGATAAGAACTGTTAACTGGTGGTAAAACTCATCCTTGATTGCATCCGGGCTGCAATCTGTCGGGGCATAGGCGGAGATGACGAAAAGACACCGTTTCTCACGCCGATTTCTTCTCACTTTGATGGAACTTTCTAATCTAACAGCACATAACCGACTGTTAATGGGGATCCAGTCAATTAGTGCTGCCTCAGCCCTAGCGCTTAGTGCAACATCTACGCCAGCAAGAGCAGACGAAGATGCCACAGGGTCCCCGGATAAGCGCACGTGAAACAAGCTTTTCGAGGCGACAGATGGAGAGCGAATTTGTAGTACTTCACTAGAGTCTTGAATACGGGTCTCGGATAGACAGCAAACATCAACATTAAGACTTTCTAAAGACATAGCCAGCCCCATCTGTTGTCCGATCTGCATTAGTGTGCGAACGTTGTAGGAAGCGAGCTTGAACGGCGTACGTGGTTTCAGGAAAACTGCTTCATTATTGGAAATCGATGGAAGCATTCACTTTCAACCAGACAGTGACTGGAGATCGTTTAGGTAGGACAGATTTTCCACCATGGGCGAGCTGCTGCGTAAGTTGGAAAGGAAGGATACACAATTTGGGAATAAAGGGAGTGAAAAAGCGACGTAGTAAATAATAGTAATAATAATGATAATGGTAATAACAATGATAATGCAAATTGTCTTTCTTCTATTAAGAACGAGAGCAGTGTAGTTAGTGTAGTGCGTCATTTGTGTGTGGGCTGTGATATTGCCCGGGTGCCCAAACCGAAGCAGATGGTTTTCTTAGGGGGGCCACACCCCGAGCCTTTGACCTAAAGATCTGATCCACAAGGCAGTGGAGCATCGTGAGGAGATGCAGTCACATGGTAGCGGGTGACCAACGGTTGGTTCGTACGCCATTCGTTCCTTCAGGATACTGGAGCCCATGTGCACTATTGGTTTGGAATCAGGGTTTTCCAACTCCCCTAGGTGGACTTTCTGTGTCCACCAACCCGGTTAAAGCACCGGACATTCGCTTTTCGTCCTCTCACTTTCGTAAGCAACACCCCTGCCGCGAGAAGGCAGTGAGTAGGACTTCCCTGACAGAGGCTATATACGCGTGGTCATGTGAGAGCATTTGGAGAGGGAGAGCGGACTCTCCCCACTCTCGACCGTACTAGGGCATTTGGGGGCTCTCACCATATAGATCTATTTCTTTATTTTTTGGTAAGTATCTATAGGCTTATTTTCTGGATTTTGTAGGGTAGTAAAAATATGATAGTTGTAGACATTGAGTAATATTACCCTAAATCAAAATGGGTAATTCATGCACATTATTTCTGTAATAATTCATCTTATATATATACGAAACTTGACATGTTTTTAGGTACTCATTTAATTCTTCTATTCCAGTGACATCATTTGTATGTGTTTTCTTAACTCTGTGTTCAAACTTTTCATTTTGAAATGTGTCTAGATATTAAACGCTCACTGCCAGACTGAAGGTCTCAGTTTTGATCTCCAATAGATTCGTGAATACGCACTGCTGTGGTACCGCGTACTAAAACAAAACAGCTGTCCAGTATTCAGTAGTTGTTTGACTACAATCAGTCTGTGATGCAACGCATAGCAGTTCAACTATGTCTACAGATCCCCAATGCTTATAGTTAATTAGCTAATGAATTCTAAATTTGACTTTTACATTTATTCCGAACTATTGTCTTGAATGTTATAGAATATCAGTTAATTATTTGCATATTATCTTGACGTTTGATTCATTCTTTACTTATTTTACATTTTAAAAAATTAAGACTAAATTTTTAACTCATCTATTTCACTCTGCCAAACTCCTTTGGTATGCAAAGAAAAAAGTTCGCTTTATTATTTACTGCTAATAATGTTGATTAATAGAATTTCACTATACGTTCTCTGTGTAAAATGCAATTTTTTTTGAAAAAACTATCGGTAAAATACTTGACATTTTTTTCAAAAACTGCAAAATTCATTAAGATTGCTATTTCTATGTTTGATTTAAGATGATGCGCTTAATATGGTGATAAATAGTTAGTAGTGGTTTCATTGCTAGGAATTTCAGTAACGTCCCAGTTTTAGTACAAACTGATAATAATAATAATAATAATAGTACTGGGTGGTCAATTTTGATTCTCGAATCAACTGAATTTGCAAGTGTGTAGAGTATAGCAGATTGCGGCAATTCAATGATCTCAAGGTAATATGCTCGTCTCGAAGACTTAGAGTCCTTAGATTCGAACAATGACCGGTTCATCTGGGATCATTGTTGAGGAGTACATACTAAGTCGAAATGCTTTTCCAGTTCCCTTTGGCTTTCAAAACTTCTGCAAATGAAGTTAATCTGGCTAATACCACCTACAATTTGAACCAACCCCTCAATCAAACAATGTTTATGTTATTAACACTGACTGACTGATATTTCGACTATAAAAGAAACACTCTTTTGTAACAACCTAAAGAAGTATTGGTTTATTTTATATTTAAAAGATAGGTTATAGACTTACTATTAAAAAATTGTGATTATTCAAAACTCTTCCTTCTTCAGTTATTGGCTTTATTATTTCAATAGTGTAATAAGAAGACGAAGATTATCAAAACTATGTGATAAATTAGCGCAATACATTTTGAACAATCTGATCACATATATACTTGTTAAGAACATTTATATATAAAGATGAAAGGTCTTAACAAGTATATGTGTGGTCAGAGTGTTTGAAATGTATTGCGCTAATTTATCACATAGTTTTGATAATCCTCGTCTTCTTATTACATTATCGAAATTGATCAAAGGGACTAATTGCTTTAAATTTATTATTTCATTTATCATTAGTGAATGCAATAAACATTTGTATAGATGTGCATTGTGCACATTATCCCTTCTAATCAATATTGTCTTTTTATTCTAAGATATCACTAGAAGTAAACTTATTCAAATATTCTAAAAACAAGTGAACCGTAATAATGGTCGTGACATTGGTTTTCTTACAAACGTCTTATTACATTTAGGTCATATATGCATATCTAAATGAGTGATTTGTGAAAATTGTTTACTTTTGAAGATATTCAGACAATGAATAGGCATTATAAATTATAAATGGCAGTACATATATATATATATATATATATTAATATAATGGGGCAGTGGCTCAGTGCGTAAGGTGTTCAACTTTCACTACTCATTCCTGCTCCATCTACTTTGGTTAGGGCGACCTAGTAATATCGCTAACCGTCATACTTAGAATGAAAATCATAACTAAGTACAAGTACTTGGTGAATGAGTTAAAAATAAATCAACGATATATAATAACTTCCAATTTATTAAATACCATAAAGTACATAAATCACTTCTAAATACATCGAACTGAGCCTATTCATTCTGTGTTTCTTTTTTCAAACATATATAAGACCTATTGTATCATTACTACAAGAAGCTGTTTTCAAACGAAACAGTAAATATTTTTATCGTCTTCATTGTTACACGTTAATGGCTTAGCTTTTTCAAAGTTTCTTTATTCCTCATTCATAAATGCTTTATATGGGTTAAACTTGATAGGTGTTCCTATTCTACTACTCTTCTCATCATAAAATAGTAATATTGCTTGCAATTTAAAAAGAAAACGATGAATGTTTAGATGATGTCCCCTTAACCTCTGATCTCCCTCTGGCAAGTACTTACAACCTTACATACAGTTCCACTTTAGCCCTCTTAATGTAATGTATCATTTTTATGCCAAGTATAAATTTGTGTATTCGGCTTTAACGATTACTTTACTCTACTCTTTAATCCCTCTGTGGTGGATATTGAAAGACAAAACTGATGCTTTGTTTAGAACATTTGAAGATTGTGGTAAAGTATGATACTTCGCTGTATAGTTTAACATATACACTTGTAATTATTCAGTTAATTTATTCAAATGATCTAATCATATATACTGTGTACATTAACAAAATGTCCCATGTTTTATTAATCCAACTCTCTATTTCTCGAGACTTTTATAAAAAATGAGTCGCTGTAGTATGACGCGTTTACTTTGTTTTTGTTTTAATAGGCGTACATTAGATAAGCGAGCTGTAGACATAATGAAACAACTTAAAAAATCAGAAGTTGGCTGTCGACCTATAATATGGATTACTCATTCAGCTGGAGGTAATTCACTCTTTTTTTCTTTAATTCTTTTGTTTTCATATTTTGCCGGGTTCTTTGTTTTACTCGTCAATTAATTTTTTGTTACTTTCGGAAAAATCATTCTTAGCATCAGAGTTGTGGTATATGGTGGTTATTTGTTTTATTATCAAAAATCGGTTATCAACTAGGTAAGTACTGGAAACTATGGATGGTTAAATACACTAGTTATGTTGTACTCTATGTTTCTTCGAGATTGAGCACTTACCATCTTACACTGAATCCAATCACAAGTCTCTTACTGTAACGTATAATTTATTTGTCAGTTACAGGTTCACGTATTTAGTTTTGAGCTATATCGTTTGTATGAAAAGCTTGTCTAAATGAAACTTGCAACCTATTAACCGGAGTGTAGATACTCTAAGTAAATACTCTTTTGTTTATGAAAAGAACAAAAGCACAAAGTTACTAGTTCGGAATCTAAAGGTCTGCATTTCCTAATTTCTATCATTTTGTGATTGTAATTTAGCCCGTACCCCCCCCCCACTGCACTCAATATCATCAATAGATAACCTCACATTTCACTTCTTTTTCAATAAAACTTTAGCAAATTCATCTGAAGTTAGCCATAGTAATGATAAACCTGAATAACAGTTATTCAAAGTCATTTACTCCATGAAAAGATATTGCTTTCACGTTGTTGAAGTAACACATATTGTGTCATAATATCACTGCTATTCCTTTTTTGCTGATTAATGAAGGAGTTATTATTACTATCATTCCATTGAAGTGATGTTTTAATTGCAGTCTAAAAGCGTATGAGTTTTCTTTCTATTTAACGTCTCTGAATTGTCCCAAAAATACTTGTTGAGTAATTATGTTTTTATTTATGGAGTTCCTTTTTTTAAACTGTAAAAACTGACTGAGCATTTCATTCAGTTTGGAAAAATGGCCCTATATCTTTATACTAGGAGTATTCACATCATATATAATTTGTGTTAGTTCTCATACTCTGCAAAAGTGTTAATGCAACAAACGTTAAGGAGTTAATATTATTGCATAAGTTAGTGTAGACATCTTAGGTTTACGGGAAATCATTTCAGACTTTATTATCTTAGTGGTACTGTCTCTGACTGTGATGTGGATTCGAATTCTGTAGAAAGCATCATTCCCCTCGCGAATTGATACACATCCCTGACGGTTTACATCTTATATGAAACCTAGCTTTTATGATTCCTGTCGGTCAATTTCAACCACCAAGGATCAAAGATAGTATATCGCAATATTTAGTTACCTAGAATAGTCACCACGTTATAATTGATAAGTAGAATTCGACTATCATTAAGGATTGATTAGTTTTTAGCACTTCTATTGTTAAAATTAATAAATATTTTCTAACCCAATTCAGACATCAATTGTATCATCACGTGTGGTAATAATGATGTAATTCACTTCTCCATTACAAATCCATTCATAAAATCGTGAGCTACACTTTTCAGTTGAAGTTTCTCAAAGATACTTTTTTTGAAGTGCTATCTAAAGTTGAGAGCTATCTTATCCAACTTTCCCAACCACTAGTCGCGCCAACCGCAATTATTTAGTTTTCTTAAACTAGTCTGACTGAGATCAACAGTCAATGACTTCACAGACCGATTCTTATGTCTTGGTTTGGCCGCTCCTAAGCTTCTTCTACACTTGTAAACATTGCCTGTCAAGGTATTCGATGGCTAGGCATATGCAACATAGGTCTCAGCCACCGCAGTATATCGTGCTTTACAATCTCAACAACCTGTTTCTCACTTCCGTTTGGTACTGATATGCCTAACCTTGACATCGATCATGCATTTGCCTCACGAAACATGAGAATCTTCCAAAGAAACCTTTGATCAAAAAACTGTTTCTTGGATATGTCTTAAGCTTTCATAGACCATGTTTCGCAACCATCAATTAAAAAAAAAGGACTACTGCAGAGTATACACATCTTGGTTAGCAGACGGACATCTCAACTACCTCATAAATGACTCAAGTTGGCAAACGCTAACCGATACCATGCTGAGATTTCGTCAAACACCAGGCCACTTATGGTTGATGAGACCTCACACACTTTTTAATTATCCCAGAATTATCGCGAAAACTGTTTGATAAACTCTACCCCATAATCAAGATTAAAAACATGTATTCTTACTATTAATAAGTCTAATTTGGAAGAAACTCGTACTTGTTGACTCATTAAATTTGGTCCTGGTTTTGTATTTCCTACTTTTTCTTTTTCCAATGTTGATAATCTATATTGAATACTAAGAAAGTAGAATGTACTCTCCTTACCGACACTTACTGTATGACACGTCGTTTCATATATATGGAGAGAGTATGTGTGTGGATCAAAATAGTGAAATCTTGAGCTTTCAATAAATAACTAGTACCTTTTTTAGTTATAAATAGTCAGTATGTATATATGTATGAAAAAAAAAACAAATTTTATTAACCTGCTTAATATTAAGACATTATTATTAACATGAAAGCATAACAGTTGGTTAAAAATATGCTCTTGAGACGATAGATTTATGTAAAGTTTGTTTACTGCTCTTATTAGTAGTGAATCCATCTGTTATGTAGTAGCGAAGACATAAGTACGGGTAACTTGCAGGACCTACTATTGGACTATCATTCTTATTGTATAACTATTCGGTAACTAAATTATCTATATCTATATTCATTTTATTGTAAGCTTCATTTTTACTTATTGATTATTATTGTATGATTTACTGTTCCTAAGTTATACTCAGTTTATTGATTATTGTCTCCCACGCTTACAGCCTCATTTGGCCTGGTTTTGTACAAATATTATTTTCTATTATATGGTGTGGTGTGGTCTGTCTGTCTGGTATATAGACAAAGTATGTTTGGAATAAACGATTCGCATTACAGCAGCTGCTATTGGTGTTTTGGTCTCAAGTGGACGGGTTAGGCGGATAAGGGCCAATAAGGACGTTAGATTACTCATACTAATCGAACGTCATTGTCACAGTGTGAAGGTCGTAGAAGTCGTATTCTATTGGTGGACAATTTACGCGAATTACGTCCTTGTTAAATTCGTAAGGTCATAACGAATCAGCGACGACCTTGATCAAGTCATAACAATTGGCTACCGCCTAGGTCAAAAACACAACAAATTGGCGACGGCTAGGTCAAGTCATAACACCATTGGAATCACATTCTATGTACAAAAAATTGATTATAGGGTTTAAATAACCCTGTTATTGATATGGAGAGTTGAAATCCTTTGTTGGCATATGTGAATCCTTTGTGGCTTGCTTTGATGGGTTGTGGTCACTATTAGAACCCAGGATTCTCGTTTCATCTTTAGCTATCTGTACTCAATAGCTCAGTAAGTAACGGGTTGGGTGTTTAAAGAGTAATGTACCGGTCTAAGGTCCCGGTATAAATATTAAAACTGACCTGCAGGTATATCCGGCTAATGAGTTCCGAATAAACTTCTTGAACTACTCCATTCTCAGACGCAATCCATGCACTATATTAAAAAGGATTCTTTTAGTTTCGACTATTTCATATACTTTTAGTCATATTATATACAACGAGAACACTGACACGGATTTATATCTATCAGAATTTTCACGTTTCACATCATAATGATACAGGGGATTACAATGAAAAATAAAAGGTGTGAAATAAATGCGACGCTTGACATTTAACTGATAGTGTCAATCCATATTGAAAACAAATTATGTTGTCATGCAAATATATATCAACGTTTATTTTTAATTATTATGTACACTAATCAAACTGTGTGATGTCATCTAGATCCACACTAATTCGATTTATATTCTTCAAATTCATGGATTCTAATTTTCTTAAGAATACATATTGGGAACCAATTAAGATTTCTCCTTTTGTGTATACCGTTTTATATATTTCATTTGTTCAATTCAATAATTGGATATTACTGTTTGGAAGTAACTATTAAATATTTCTCTTTTAATGCTTATATGAAATATCCGTTTTTTTAATACCTTCAATAGGTATTCTTGTGAAAGAAATGCTTCGATTGGCCAATTCAGTTAGCAATGGTACTTCTGATGATTCGAAAAATGATCATTCTGAGCCAATTACCACATCTAGCACTAGAGATTTTGCACATATTTCTCATACGTATGCAGATTTGTCAGTTTTAAATGGGGGAAATCAAACTGTTTCTCAATCCTCACTTTTTAAAATCGATCCATCCTGTAAATGGTATTGTCACGAAACTGACCAGGAGAATGAAAATCTGTCAAATATGTCGGATCCTAGTTTCATCTCTTGTGTTGAAGATAAAAACGCCAATGTGTCTGATAAAAAATTTGAAAATCGTATGTGTTATTCATCTAGTTGTTCTGATGTACTGTCCAAACCCATTAATAATGCATCATTCCTAACCACTTTATCCGATAATTCAGCAATAGATCCTGTAAATTATCGAACATTAGCAAGTAATACACAAGCAGTTGTATTTATGAGTACACCACATAGAGGAAATCAATCAATGCACACTTTATATCGTCGTCCATTCCGATGGGCTCTCACTCCTGAAGCTATTCAACTTGAAAAAGGCATGTTAACACTTTTACTTTACTTTCTGACAATAAATAATTTTCGTTTTTTTATTTACTGAAGTTAAAACTTTTTTCTTTGGTATCAGCTATGAGTTCGTCACTTTTTATCTAACTAAGCTATGTAGAAATAAGGTCAACTTATTACGATTAAATTTTTTCTAAAATGAGATTAACGAATATTGTTAAGTAGTGAACGAGAACACTTGTGGGGACAACCAAATGTATTTTAATACATTACATAATATCTTGGTGAAATCTCAGATAGATATAGTAATACTTCATTTGCAATATATCCATGAATTGTATCAGATACTATCGCTCCTTCGTTTCCGCACCAATCAGTCTCTGTTCTCGTTCTCTTCGATTTTCTCAACCTTCTGCCTCTAGGCATTCCACTTTCGACTGGTGATACATAATACCTATATCTGTTAAAATCAGTGGTATACAACACAGTTAGATCCAGTAAATTAACGATATTTTACATACTGGAAATCTACCCTCGCAAACATTCTAATTTCATGAATCAAATGCAGTGTTGCGAAAAAGGTAACATGTAAGAAACAAATGTTTTTATTGTCAGTATGTTATATCGACTGAGTGCGTGTGTGCCCTGTTTTTATATGAACGTGCTGATTCCCGCCAATTAGAGAGGAGTGAATTATCGATCAGAGCAATGATACACAAAGCCGTATGAGCAGTCTTGAGTACTTATCAGTCCTGCTTTCTGCCTAACCCAGCCAGTTAAGTCCAGAACACCAATAACAGCCTCTGCAATATGAATCATTATTTTCAAACATACTGAGTTTATATACCAAACAAACTGACCACATCGTATCATAAAATAGAAAGTAACATATGTGCATGATTCAGCTAAATGTCGCTGTGAATAGGGGGAACAGTAATTTAATGGACTAGGAATAACTCAAGAATGGTAAAGCGTATAATAATAGTTTATAGGTCAAAATAAAGCTTATAATAAGAGGGACACGAATATGAATGGTTTAGTTACTTAACAATTATATAATATGAAATATGCATATCATATTGGTCCATAAATAGTTCTCAAAGTTACCATTCATAAATCTCCACGGGATATAACACAGTAGTATTGATAATCACTAATCACTAGAACAACAATAACGTGAGTGTATGTTGGTGACAAGTATCGTAACATGTCGGTGTCCGAATTGAGTTCAGATTAACAAGATTGAAACTTAACACTAACAAAATTCTTCGAGAACTGAAACTCTAAATCGGTAGCTTATTTATTTATTTATTTAAACACATAAATATTGGTACAAGGAAAAACCAGATAAATATGCGCCTCACAAATCTCATTTGATTTGTGTGAGGGCTGTGATACTGCCCAGGTGCCCAAATCGGTAGCTACTTTTTGTTTTAATTAAAACTGAAATTTTATGTACTCTCAGAATTCTACAGTGGACTAAAAATACACAAATGTTCGATCCCATTAAGATCAGTAGTAAATTTCATTAATTCATTAGCATACCATTTCTTCAAATACACTTATCTTTGCTGTGAAAATCTTTCTAACAATGTACAAAACCTAAAATTAAATATTCATTTAAATTTTAAATTCAAGATAACAAACTAGAAACATGACAAAATTATTACATTTGTTCGTGATTCGCTAGCATTCCTATTACCGAATGTCTTGATATCATTTTCAGTTTATTAGAATCGGGCACAAATCGATCAAAATGATATCCACTAAGCACCAGTGAAACCATCAATGCTCTGCACTTCCTCTTAGGAACTAATCATTTTAGATCCGAAGGAAGCTTATTTCGATGGACAAATGAAGTTGAGGTAGATCTCTCTGTATCACCTATATTTGCGTATCTATTCATGAATAGATTTGGAAAAAAACATATCCATTAACAGACCGCTGTTTTAAACTCTTACCGACTTTTTTGTATGATTTAACCGATAATAGAGGAGTCAGTCATACGTGGCATAAAAGTTGCCACTCGTACCTATCAGTACAAGTTGTCACAACATATTAGCACAGCAAGGTGAAATTATCAAGGCAAATCCCAGAGTCGTAGAGTTAGTAATACTATTAATGGTAGTCGCCAAAATTAGGAATAAGTCATAAGATTCTAAGTGGAAGAATAAATTATCAGGACAAACATAAAATAGTATAAGGTAATTTTAAAACTTGAGGTCTAAGGAAAAGAGAGAGTGAATATGAATCTTCGCCATCGCGATCTATTTTGAGCACAATCATTCAGCCTCCAAACATCAACTAAGATAATTGCGCAGACGCTATCCAATCAGTGTGCTCCCCAAAACACGGCTCACTTCCGCTAGTTGACGAGTTTACGAACTGATTCCACGTCTTACTTTGACCACCCCAGCTTTCTTCCAGTCTACTCTTACACCTCCCAACATCTCTTATCGAGGTAGGCAGTGGTTAGATATTTGTGTAATACATGTTCAGACGATAAAGATTCATAACCTCATCAATAGATTTTCCGCTCCTGTCTAGTATTATGCGTCTATCTCATCAGTGCTCACTCTATAGCTTCAACATACGGTATCAATGCTACAGACGCATCTGTTATCAAATTCTAGTGACCGACGAATATCCTCTACTTTTAAAGGTTACTTTTAACAACCACGGAGTATAGCAAAACTAATTGCTGCCTAGTGTGCTCGTCCTTTGGTTAGCAGGCAGACAAACAAGTGATGCAAATTAGAAAATGTTAGGAAAGCTTTCTCACATCAACTCATTAGGGCTGATGCATTCAATTACTTTACTCCCTATTATTAATCCAGACATTGACGTAGATCAGTCTTGAAGCAGCATTTTGTATGCAAATGTGAGGAATCGTATTCCAAGCATGGTTACCTTCCTACTTTGGGAGATCAGAAGAATGCATTTGATGAACATCTTCATCAAACAGACTGCAAAAAGTGACAATCATGTTGTAGGGAAAGGGTAATTTTAATTCAAATATCTTACACCGCCTCGTCTTTATTTTATAGATTCAAACTATTTGTTGGATCTCCATGTTTGGTTTAATCTATGGGCATATAATCATAAAGTACAAATTTTATCTATGGCTGAAAGTCGTGTAACACCAATCAATAGATTTTGGTCTGTTTTAATTGTCCCTGAAGATGTTAAAGGTTTGTCTTAATTCGTGTTCATGTAAATTTCTTTCAATTCAATAAAGTTATTTAATGTTACTTTGCTTACAATCTGAAGTTTTCAATATTGTCATCCTTACGAAGTGTGTTTTACATTATTTGGTATAGTGAAAGTATGTAAACTTTCTAAGTTCACTGAATACAAGCACTGACTGACTAGCTACATTAAAATCTAGTTCAGAATTGTCCATTACATGGCTTCATTCAGACTATGATTGGTTTACGTCAACCTTTTGATTCTGCTATGTAAAATAAAGATAAATTTGTGACATTACTGAGAATAGAGACCTTTACTGCCGTAACGGGAGTTGCTCCGCTAATGCATTTGTGGGACTTAAGTCCTTTCACTGATTATACTAGGATGTTATGGCATTAAAATGTTCCTCTATATATAGTAACCAACGATACGAATTTCGATTTCTCGATACTTGGGAAAGCTGGAGTAGACTAAACAGAATTGGGTTATCCCCTTCCTAAAATCTGTAAATGCTACAGTTAAATGTTACTAGTTGAACCAATTAAGACGTTAGACGCTTATTTATTTAAACACACATAAAGAATGGTACAAGGAGGAGTCAAATATTTATGTGCCACAATTCGTCATTCGATTTGTGTGAAGTCTTGAATACTGCCCGGGTGCCCAAACCGAAGCAGGTGGTTTTCTTAGGGGGCCACTCCTTCAGCCTTTAACCTAGAGGTCTAGTGCACAGGGTAGGGGAGCAACGTTAGGAGATGCAGTCCCATGGTATTCGGTGACAAACAATATGTTCATACGCCATTCGTTCATTCAGGATACTGGAGCCCATGTGTACCATTGGTTTGGAAACAGGGTTTCCCAACTCCATCAGATGGATCCTCCGTGTTCACCAACCTGGTTAAGGCCTCAGACACGAGCTTTCTGTCATCCCAATTACGTAAACACCACCCTCACTGTAAGAAGACATTGAGTAGGATACTGTGTCTAAGTAAGTGATCATTAGTTCTAGAATCTCAGCTGCTAATTATCCAATCCCTTGTAAAAAGTGAAGAACAATTGTACTTTTTTAAAACCTAGATAAGTTGCTTAAACAAAATTGTTCATCTAAATCTTAAATCTGTTTTTACTCAAAACTCGCGTAGAATTTCCGGATAACTAACTCTTAGATATTTTCCTTATGTTATTCAATCCAGTCATAGTTTCATCACTTATTCAAATAACCTCATTTTTTTTAAGTCGCAAAAATCGTTATTTTTCTAAACTCATTTCATTATTTATCATCTATATTGTAGACCGAGAGATGGGTAAATTGGTACGTATCGATTCAGATCATTTATATATAAGTAAACCAATGAATCCTTCTGATCTGTCGTATACTAGTATTGTTAATTTTATTGAAAATTTATCATTATGTAAACAGTTACCTGTGAATACCAATATAAAAAAGCCTTTCTAACTTTCCATATTTCTAGAGTACATTGAAAGTTTCTTATTATTATAACCTTTTCTAATCTCATTGACTTTTTTCAGTTCATCAGTGAACAAACGTGGTCTAATTTATGATGTATGTTTTTCAAGTTGTGAAATTCTTTCTGTTTGTTCGTTTTACTAATTCATTATTTGTACAGACTACTTATCTTAGTTTTTTTTACTCTTTCTTTCATAAAGATTAGTTTAATATAATTTTTTATTTATTTTTAGAAGTGATGTTTTGATTTTTTTTATTTATTCTAAGGTGATTCTGTACAGTGCAGTATCTGTGTATGTGCGTGTTCACCTTTGATTCTTCTCCACAATGTGTCTTTTTTAGATTAATTTATTTCTTTTTAAGTGGAATTCATACTGTTACCTGCATTATTTTGTAATTTCTGATATATATATATATATATATATATATATATATATATATATATATAAAGTGACGATTAATCCATCAGTAATTGTGCTATTCAAAAATTAGGAAAATATGTGTATATAACGCCAGTGTAATGTTTAAGAACACGGGTGGGGACAATCAAATGTATTTAAGCACAAATTACAGACTTTCTCACTAAAATCTAATAACCATACAGTAAACAGTTAATTTGCAAAATAACAATCAATTGTCTCAATCTTAACTGTTCCTTCTGCAAATATCAATCCATATTCTCTGAATTCATTGTTCATGCATTTTCATACCGATTGCGCTTCGTTTCTATATTTTCCTTATCGATCTTCCGCCAAAGTACATTCTATGCTTGACCATCACCATATAATACTTAAATGGATATAAGTAACCCATGCCACACCAGATGTATCATGAAGAAATCTGTTAAATTGTATGATTTAAGTACTGCCGATTTAGTGTGCACCTACAGCTAAGTATAATGCATTATCAGAGACAGTTTGTAAGAACCACGCAACTTAAGTTTTTATGCTAGTTTACATTCTTGATCAAGGTGTATTTAAAATTGTCGGTGAATTAATGTTCACCACGTAGTTTGAATCTGCATTACCCAACTTCTTATGCTATAACTGATCTGTAAGATTAAGACATGTTGGATTACTGAATCAAATCATCTAGTACTTGTGCCTGCTCAAATTCTGTCGATCGATTTGTAATATAGCTGATTATCTTACCAGTCAGCCGCTCGTGATGCAATCCATTTTGACGCTGGTAGTCACCGTCATGTCCGTTTGTTGCAGTTCCTGGATCAGTAACGTTACGAAATAGCGGTCATTGAATATTAATCGCACTAGTATGGGCAGTCTGCTAACCGGATGGCTTATTTATTTGAATTACTTGTTTTGGTCTAAACTCAACATCAGTGTGTTCGAACGCTTTCAGTTTATAGAATAGATCTAACTAACGGTGGTTTCGCACGTTTGTTGTTCAACAGACCATTTAATTCTATAACATGACTAGACACTTCACCACGGTTACAACAGACCAGCGACTTTATAGTTAAAATACTCGAATTTCAACCACTGGATAATAGGTTCTTCATCAAGTTCATCCAAACCAGCTTGAACATCAAGTGATTATCTCTAGTCCCCACATATTCGATCTGAGTCGAATATGCGTATGTTAGCATGCAATTTGTCAAGCCTAACTTGAATGTATTTGCTGCATATATATAAAGTCAGGTCTAGCGCAATACGTCAATTCTTAACAATATTTTCTTTAAAATACAGACTAAAACCAATCGTTTAGGTAAAATCGTAATATGGTCTAGTTAAAAGATTGAGTAACTCCTTACTCCATGGTTCACAAGATAATACAAATACTATTAATAACTTGTTAATTTAATGAAATGAGCTCGTTGATCCCACCAAATATTTTCTCTAGACACGTTCAGTTATTTGTATCAATATAAGATTCATATTTTAGTATGCAATTAATAAAGGCGTAGGTCCCATAGAAAACACTTGGTTTTCAACTCATATTTCATTATGCTGGATGAATTGTCGTGACCAATTAATTTCCGCATACTCTAATTCATAAATAACTTACATTTTATTCTAATTACTACAGTAAGCTTATTTTGTGGACATATTTTAGGCGTTACATAGCAAAGCAACCGAGTTGTAACAGGTAACTTACAGAGCTTGTTCAACAATTCACTTAGTGCCATGTCAAGCTATCATGGATTAATTCTAGCTTCCAGACAGACTGATTTGTTCATTCTTCATGAAACATTTTGACCCTGTCACTTATTCGCTTATTAATATTGTGTTTTTATATGAGCATCATATGTGTATGCGTTGCTTATCCTGCTGATCACATATCTAAAGCTTATTTGTGTCTGACTAAACATTATTGTCGTGTTTGATCAAATCAAGTTGGCTCGCTTCATTTCGTTTGTTTGTCTGTTCAGACCGATGAGTGCACGAAATATACGTATTCAAAATGTTTTCTCATATTTCATTCCGTTATTCTCTAACGCGAAATAAGTCAGTAATTATGTACGAGAGTTTGGTGACATGTATATTTCGATAACAATCATCATACGGTCTAACTAGATACAGAGTCACTGAAAAATATACAAGAAAAAAATTATCTTTATAAGCAAAGATGGATAGTGGCTAACATTGGAGTCCTATTTGGGACTCGTCAGCCGGATATAGCTGCACCTCAGAGTTGATGTTCACTCTGGGACTCGAACCCAGTACCGTTCGCTACAAACGCCATCACGTTATCCATTCAGCTACTGAAATGCGCATCCTGGATTCCACAGCTAACCACTATCCATCTTTGTTTATAAAGCTTGTGGCTTCAGCCAATATCGAGGCAGTCCGCATAGGATACACATATACATACAAGAGACTGATCAATTGCAATCCAAAATAACAATGGGAAGATACAAGTAAACAACATCAAGTGAATTAAAACTATCTTATTTATTTTTAGGTTCAAAATTAGCAATGGATTTCTCTTGTGAATAATGATGACTAATAAACACTAATTAGTGAACAAATCACATGGTTTACCAACAGTCCACTTTAAGTGATGATGAGTTTTTGATAAAAATGTTGCAAATTATTTGTAAAGTATCTTCCATTAGTTAAATATTTCCTGAGTTGAACATCAATGTTAATACACTTAGCAAAAAATGTATTTCATTATGAAACATAAGGTGGTTACGAAGTTATTTAATAAATTTCAATCAATCTTATTTAGTTTAAACCAGAATTAAAGAACTCATCAGAACAGTTTGTTTGATTGAAATCAGTTAAACTTTAATGTCACATCCTTAAGAGCAATATTGAATTTAAGTCTGATTAGATGGCTAATCGCATCATAAAACTGAGTACTATGATGAACCTGTAGCCAACAGATTAAAACCTGGCTATGAACAGTGTCCGACTTCAAACTCATTGATTAAAATCAGTCGGCTTAAACCAGTAATATCTAGGCAAATCCAAATTTCCAATTACATAATATTAAGTATTCGAAAATATCCCTCTCACAAAATAATAAGTGGAACATTTTGTCTTTTCGAAAGATGACCTGACACTATTACCGAAGCGTATAACTAATTAGTTTGTCAAGATTACTTTTTTTTGATGATAGTTTTAAGGTATAAACTGATACCAACTGAAATGAAACAAATATTTCATCGACGTTTGTCCCTTTTCTATTGATGTTTTCTTTGTTATAGCGCAAGATACAGTTAGATACCTACACTTTATTGATCTATAGTCATTCTACTGAGTTAGATATGAGTTCATTTATGATTAGTAAACTATTCAATGAACAAATTCGAATAATCCAACAGTTTTAATTAATCAAGTTTATCGCTTGGTTAAAAATAGTTTATTGAAACTTAATTAAAGCATCACACTATATCAGTGTATCCATAATAAACAAAAAATAGTCGATAATTATTGCATGACATTAGTTATAATCTGATAATTTCGTTTATAAAAATATATATCTAGCAATTATCAATTTTGAAAACTATTGAACATTGAATAATAAATGTTCTAAAAGAAAGGGAAATATTTAAAAACATAAAATACAATGACCTAAACTAAATATCGTATGATATTATGAATGCATACTTTCGTATCCTTACAAACTACAACAAAACATAAGTGTACAATAGATCATAGTTATTACTGCTTCTTCAATTGATGTTAAGTCATAATGAAAACTAACTAATGTGAATAGAGAAACAAGAAACTTTGACAAACAACGGAATTTTGGGGATGTTATTTCATTTAATTCAAAGCTTCTAAAACAGTAATATTTACTCTTATCCCTAGTCTATTCTACAGATCATAAGCTTTCGTTTAATGTATGATTTACTACCATAGCCTTTTCTGTTGCAAAGCTATTGTAATTTAAACGTGATCTTTTGTACTTTATTTTCTAGTCTAATCCCCCAGTTTTGGACATAATTGTATTTTCATAATTGTCATACGTTGTGGTCGGGTTACTCATCTATTTATTCATGTATCTTTTTACATTATTCTGAAATCGGGTACCAGATCGGAATTGAGAATGAATCAAATAATGTTTCAGTTGACTTATCTTCTCTCTCACATGTGTTTGTCAGCCAATCAGGTGATCGAATAGTTTTCATCTCTCTATCCAAAGCAGTTAGTCACACTTCGAACCCACTCATACTAGCCTCAAGGTTAAGCCAGTCAGTCTATCTCATCTTAGTCTACATTAGACAAGTTATCCTCGGCACGAAAGTGCGTAGACAGATCAAAGACATAACATTAAGTTTAAGTTGAACAAATCTCCATAATCTATGAACCTACATATCTATTATATTTGTATTTCATAATGAATAAATTGTTGGTTTTACTTATATTTGAAGGGGTTCCTGTAGATATTATAGTAATTTCAATAGTTGAGATCATGAGTCGATTAAAGCTAGACCACCATAAAAAACCTACTTCCAGGTTTTTCATGGTGGTCTAGCTTCAATCAACTCATGATCTCAACTATTGAAATTCTTTATATTTCTCTGTTTTTTTTTGTTAATATCTATATCATAGCAATCGCAAAATTGTAATTTACAGGACTAGAGTATAAAAAGTGTTATTCAGTCGTTCATTTACTATATGAATAATAATAAAGTTGTATGAGTCTTTATCCATTCTATGTATTAACATATGTGTTCTGATTAAGTTAACATATCCAACTGGATGTATGATGCAAAATTAGATTGTATTCTCTTTTTGATTAATGTAAAAAAACAATATTTATTGGTTAAGATTTCACTATAAATTGTGTCAATGTATGTTTTTCGATACTCTTCTATAAACTTCCTGTTCATTCATATTCAATATTAGATGTTTTGTAACTTTTAAGGACAGTTAAATTATATTATAATCTGAGAAAGGATTAAAGGTTTTCATTCTATTTAATCTTCATTGCACATGA